AAATTTTTACTTTTTGTTTTTTTTATTTAACTTAATAAAATAATATATATATATATATTAACTTAATAAAATAATATATATATATATATATATATATATATACATACTGTGATATAATTACAAAGAAAATCCAGAAATGTAAAATAAAACAAAAGGAATTAAAAGAAATGGACAAGAGTCTCTTTTCGCTCTCTACCTTTTTATCCCAAATATGTGCATTACTATCTAAAGCGTGTTATGAACAGCATGGTAGGCAAAATAAAGACTCTGTTCTCTCCCTTTATTTTCGCTTTGCAGAACAAGCCCAGTCGCGCTTTCATATTTTTAAATCATTTATTTGTTACAATAAGACATTCATTTACTCACATTCATTCATGTACGTACATTCTTCAATTCATTTACTCGGTTTCAGGTTAACTTTCAAGGATCGTCGGCTATTGCAAATTGTTCGCCATGAAGATTATATTTTGTTCGTATAATTCAAATGAAGAAGTATATACGAAAAAATATAAAGAAAAAAGGTTATGGGTGGCAAACAGTTTGCAAAATATTCACATCGCAATGTATCCGTGTAAATATAACCTCAAACGCCAAAAAAGCCTCCGTGCATGTCTCGATGTCAGTTCTGTACATTTACTTGGGTGTTTTATTGATCGAGCGGGTTGCTTATGATTTTTCTGTTTCTCTTTGCGCCAGTCTTTTGACGTCTATCTATTATAGTGACGATTTACGTTGTCTTCTTTATCTTTTTTCGTTTGGGCACGTATTCTTCAGAGCAAACGCAAATTGCCGGCTCTACCAAATCGCTGACAGCACAGAGACGCCGCTTCTTGCACAGGTATTATCGTTATTATCGTTTTCATTCGCGTTTTCTATTCGTTATCAGTTTTTAGTTATCGTTCTATCACATGCATGGCCAGAATTTATCAAATATATATATATATATATATATATATTAAAGAACCAAGTAACATAATCATTCATCTATTATTTTTCGTCATTGTCATAGAATGGTTTCAAATAAACAATGATTACAATATATATTGAAGATTTTTCTTGATGTACGTATAAATATTTTGATTGCAAAGACAAAGGATTATTGATTATCAATGAAATATTTTATTTTCTTTATTTTTCATTAATTAATATAAAAATATTCGTTCATAGAAATATTCATCATATTCACACAAACTTTTAGTATTCTTTCAATGTAATATGACTATAAAATGCATTCTTATTTAAATAAAAGACTGGAGGAAAGGTATAAGAAAAGTGATCCCTCTTAGAAATGATTTTATTTTATTTATATAACCAATCATTCTTTTGAAAAGTCACCAATAGTCTAAAGAATTATCAATGTCCCTAGCATGCAACAATTGCTTGTTAGATGTCGTTTCTTGAATCTGGTTTGTTATATAGTAAATTCTGAAGATAGTTAAACTTGATAATTTTTTTTTTAATTTTAAATAATATTTGATGCATATTTATTTATTCGAAGTAGAATCAAGAACAAAATATCCTTCAAATCCTCAAAGATTGTCATGAAATTGCTGAGGTGTATTCTATTGCATAATTACCAAATATTGAATCCATTTCCTATACAATTACAACCAATAACATTTACTCTTTATGCAATAATTTAAATAAATAAATTATTACTCAATCCAAGTTTAATATCTAGAATCATTGTATATAGAATGTATAAAAAATGGAAAATTTTATAAACATATTCTAATAAAAATCTAAAGAATATTCAGTAATCGAAAATGACGCTGGTGGTACGGCGTCTTTGTTCATACAGGTGATAGTCTCGTCTCCCGGTTCACCTAGCAGCGAGGAGTCAGAAGTCTCGCCGGAACCGATTAACAAGAGCCTCCTCGGCGGCCTGGGACTCGAAAAGAGCAACGAAGGGACCACAGTGAACTCGACTGGTCCAGGAACAGAACAAATTACACCGACCAGTAGCGTCGACACTGAGGAGGGGAATATACCACATCTAGAAGAAGGCGAAAAGGGAGTTGAGGGTGATATAGAAGCTAGTGACGACGATCGACATCAGCACGCACCCAAGACGCATTAAAATTTCGTTGAACATATGGATTAATTATAAGTCGAGGGTGTGCGCCCATAACTTAAATATCTCCATTTCAATTTGATACTTTGAAGAATTTTGCTTTTTTTTTGTTGAATGAAGATTAAGAAGAAACAGTGTTGGGCATCGAACGATGAATATTTAAAAAGATTAGGATTTGAATTCAATATATGAAAGATAATATAATCGATTCAATTAGTTGAAAAGATTGATTGTAATCTAGTTAATTGTTAAAGTAGACTGTGAACAGGCAAAGTCTGATTACAGTTTTTGTAAATTTATTTATTGACATAAGAGGAAAGTTTGATTATATGTGAATATATTGCATGATACTGGTGCTGCAAAGGCTGATGGTAATAAAGAATAATGGATTTTGAAGTCTGTTAGAACAAATGTCTATAGATTGGTTAAAAGTTTTTGTTATTCACAAATATGTTTGTTACAATCGTTTAGGAAAAGAAGAGTGAGGTTAAGTTCTTAAGACATTGCTTATTATTCAAAATTAAATAGAATGGTAAGCAGATGTGCTAAAGAAGTTTTTTTTATCTTAGCATACAATTTTTATAATATGTTGATAAACGCTGGAGAAAAAAGAAAATACATTCTATTTCTGATTTCTCGAAGACATTCAACGCGTTGACTGCTTCGATTTGGAAACTAGTGTGCTAATATTTGTATGACAAAACGATTTTTTAATTTTTAATGCATACTAACTATTCATAGAGCAACAAAAAAATTTTTTTTAGAATGTTATTATTGCATTGTTGGCTGTGTTAGAAAAATAATTTTCTTCGTTATATGATGTTGTGTTTTAAAATATTTATAGACGTTTTCTTATAACAGTCAACGCGTCAAATCGCACATATATTTCTCTGAGAATGTTGTATTTAAAAAATGTGTAATTTATACGAAACTCGAGGCTGAATATTTGTCGCCAGACGCACAATAAGAGCGATCATTGTTTCCCAGATGAAACGACGCGCATAATGGGACCACTGCGAATATTCATTATAAAATCATCGTGAAGAAATGAGATCTTACGCTACATTGACGATCTGACGACTAACTAAAAGCCTTCTGCAAGTTTTATATGTATACGAGTTTGTTTCCGTATTGCTCATCAGATACGTATAAAGATAGCCCATCAAAGAAGAAGAAATATGGTAACCAAAATTATGTTGATATTTATAAAAGAATTTCACTCTTTAGCTGCAAAATATATTATGATCTCACTATCATCAAAGACTGCATATTGACAAACAGGTTCCTAGCTTAAAACTCCTTGCACAAAATTTAATTCCTAATTATTTTAGATTTCTCTAAATATTTTAGAAATAAATAAATTACAAGGTTACCTTTTGCAGCTGAAGAATCAATGATTATAAGCTTTTTATTCAAGCACAAATGCTATGGAAGAAAATTTTTTAATCATCTAAATTTTTTTTCTATATTTTACCTTGAGATCAGCCGAAAGCTTCTTTCTCAACTCAATATTAAGCAGTAAAGCCACCAAATGAGAAATTAGTAAAGCAGAGAAAACAACGAGTGAGTACTTTTATGACAATGAGCATCTCGAGTCGTCTTCCGTGTCCTAAAATGCACAAATTTATTTAAACTGATCGAAAAGATGATGTCCAATGTTTTGAAAAAGAGGAAATGATGAAATTCTATAGGAGATTCCGCGATTTATCGTGCACATCCTCAACTCAAAGAAGCTTTTGCTTCTTCGGTTAAACTTTCAACGAAATTTATGATATTTCCCGACCGGTCGAGGCTGAGATCTCATGCGAAAGAGTTCCGGAGGAGTTTCTTCATCGGTAAAGCTAGTTACAGAAGAAAAAAGACGAAGTGAACTGATCATATTGATTAATTGATAATGGGGAAAAAAACAGAGCCATATGCAGAAAGAACAGAAAATAAAATAAAAATAAAAAAAGAAAACATAAGAAAAAGTTAAATAAAAAGACATACATACACCTGGATACATAAGAAAATATGAAGAAGAAAAAGAAGAATTACAGCGCAATGCTCGATTTATATACAATATACTATATATATACATATTATATATACACATATAGACTAGTCACAGTATACATGTGCTTTTGATAAAAAATCTATTACTTAGAGGTTAGTTAGCCCTCATATACAAGACACGAAGAAACTGTTAATGTACACATTACTGCGTCCACATATACGTGCATTATATATATCAGAAGATAAAGAAAAAGAAAAGAAGTTAAGAATTAGAAAATTGAAGAAAAAAAAAGCAAGGTGTAGGTGTACGCAGACGATAATATATATATACATATATATACATAATGTTCAGTGCAATAAGAGCCGAGAACTGACTCTATGACTTCTTGTTACATGTTGACAATAGCAAATCGACGAACGAAAAGTAAAGAAAAATAGAAGAAGATGGATCAGATGCGAAGAACCGAAACTCACCGAGAAACAATAATAATTACAAATAAATTTAAAATAAATAAAGTTTAAATAAACTTATAAAACGACTAAAAACATAGTCAGTATTATTGTATATGCGAAAAAGCAAGCATTTGAAGAAGACGAGCCGAGAGAAACTACCCTTCGGTCAGAATATTCCCCGGGGTTCGTTTGTTCTACGATCTCGTCAATGGGGACACGAGTGTCTATTTATAACTATTATTACTATCATTATAGTTAGTTGATATAGTGTGATTATTAATATAATGTTGTTGCATACACACAGTGGATTTTGCTGTACATTACAAGAATGAATTGAGATTAATGATTATTCTAGTTTGCAATGTTCTAATCTAAATTCAGACAAAATCATAGAAACCATATATTTTTATTTAGTTAAATTTTATTTGTCTTGATTATAATCTATAGCATTATGATATAAAATACTTATATATCAATAATGTACTCAGTAATGTCACTGTCTCATTCTATTGCGGCCATTCTTAATTATATGATAGATTAGTTATGATTTCTATAGTATTGCAATTTATGAGTCCAACTGCGTCCATCATATTAAAATTATGTGACATCGTGTCTTCCATCGATTTCTATCCCAATTTTTAAAATTCTTGCATGTTCTTTTCTTCAACTTTTCAATTGTTCCAGAATTTTTTTTATAAATCTACTTATTATTACAAGATCTTTTTTAATTTAAATTTAATTTAAATTTATATCGAATATTTTATTTCTACACAATTTTTCATTTAACAATTATCTTACAATTTTATCTTATTACAAATTTTTAAGTCATCAGTTTTTAAATATATTTTTTCTTAAATTATGTAAAATATATTCTATTGCATAATCTTACTCTTTTATAATTATAGCCATTTTTGATTTTTATGGTATTAATGTCGCTTGATGATATCTAATGTTATAATGTCGTATTGTCAATAATGTCATTTCACGATATTTTTATTAAATTTATGATTTTGAATATATTTTTTCGAACGTTATAAAATCCTCAGAAAAATCTAATGTGTGTTCGTAACAATGCGTATAAATAAAAGATTGTATAATATATACTGACTGAATTATCAGACATTGCGATTCAATTTAACTTTTTTGTTTAATTTTGTTTAATTTAGAAAAAGAATATTTTTAGAAAGTATACGAATTTTGATCTTATTAAGCGAGTTTTCATAAGAAGAAATTCATAAAATAATTAAAAGGTGATTATTCAATTTTAATAAAAAGTATTTAATTGAATAATGAAAATTTTCTTTTGATAATATCCAGTGATTCATAATAGTCAAAGAATAATGATTTCATTTATTCAAATGTTTTAGTTAGTTAAAATGATGAATGGTATGAAAAAATAATTAAAGTTTTATAAAAAAAAAAGCTAAAATTGAATAATAGAAGTTTTTATAAAGGAACTGCAAGGAAATTATTTTCATTATAAATAATAAATTTTAATAAAAGATACTTTTCCAGACTGAAAAATAAAGGAATATTTTCAATTAGAATTATATAAAATTAGTATAATATTATATATTAAAATTAATATTTAAGATCTATCTATAATATTTCAATAATGATAATATAAATGATAACATTAAAATCACTGGATGTTTTTAAAATGATTTTAAAGAAAGAAATATTTAAAATATTTAAAATTTATTATTATTATTATTAATTTCTTCATAAAAGACTACAAACAATCTTGTACAAAGACTATTAAATTATAAAGTGTAAGATACATGTATAAAGATTCAAAACTCAAGTGGTACTTTGAAAAGTTGACCACTATTAAATTGCTTTTTCAACTCGTGTCCCCGTGAGTGAATGCAATTTGTATAAATGACATATAATATACTTTATATCGTATCAGCATTATTCAATAAAATATTCAGACTTTTAAAAATTGACATAATAAGATATGTGAGGCATATCTATATTTCTTTTTTATTAACTATATATAAATATATATAGTTGTTCAACAATTTAAAGTGCAACGAAAAAAGAAAAATAAAACGGAAAAAAAGAAAGATAAAAGAAAAGGCTGTTTTTGGAAAACTTTTATTGAATATGATTTGAAAAACTTGTAGTTTTTTCACTAACTGATTACAATCGAAATTGGTCAATCATAGAAAAAAGTAATAGATCAACGTTTCTCAATCTATGATATATAAGAATAATATGTGAATAATTTATATATAAATTTATATAATATTTTACAAAAGAATAATGGATTTTACAATTAAAATTCCTACCTTGATCATATTGATCGAATTTTAATTGTGAAAAAAATGATCTATTGATTTATGATAGAATTACTAATAGAATCTAATTATAGAGATACTGATTTATGTATTATATTATGAATTCTATTAATTTATATATTATAAATATTTGAATCGCGATACAATTATAAATAAATATGTTGGATAAAACAAAAAGATTGAAAATCGCTGATTTATACAATCAATTAATATTTTTTGTCAACAATTTTTATGATAATTTTGGCTTTTTCAAAGAAGATAGGCCCATCAATATTTCTTCAACTCGATAAAAGTATAGAGAAGCGATTGAATGATGCTGTTACGATACAAGCATATATGTATGTGCATAATGTATTTACACGTATGCATACCGCATACAAAGAGTGCACTCTCTTTTTTCCGCACAGCAACACAGTTAGTCTAATTGGTGACATCTCGGTAGGGAATGTCACCAGTGGCGACATTTGTTTCAAGTAGCCAAGAAAAGAGGATCATTGTATAGCTCAGTGCATCATAATTCGCGTAGCCACCGCCCTAGTTTTATCGAACCCCTGACTGTTTCACTGTCGTTCGATATGCAAGCATAATGGAACGCCGGATACCATCTTTTAATTAGATATTAATTTTTTTTTAATTTAAACATTATAAAACTCTGCTGCTTTCAATTCCATTTTTGCAACATTTTTATTATTTTATATGGTTTATTATCGTTTCTTTCTATTCTATTGTGATATAGAATAATTGATACATACAATTATTATCCACCTCACTCTTTACATAAAAAAATGTTGTTAGAGAAGTTCCTTCCAAATAATTGACAACAAGACACCATTTGAGAAAACATCATGGATGATAATATACTGACTTATACCCTTAAGTTTTTTTCAGATTCTCATTTTGCTATAATAAGAATAACAAGAATAACAAAAAAATAAAATATAAGTATTACAATGCTTTTTTATCATGGACATACAGTGATATTTATCTGAAACTATTATAATAAAATTGTTGATGAAATATGGAAAATATTATAGTATATTATAGTATATTAAAAAAACAATATTATGACAAAGTACATATTTTGCTATACAGATGCAAGCTCTCAAGAAAGAAAATATATAATTAATAATTATAAAAAATTGAAGTTTTTATCTTTGAAGAAATTGTGTTCTCCATATATTGATCAAGATAATATAAAAATCAGAAATTGTTCTAAAATAAAATAAAATGTTTCGACGGTGTCCGGCTTTCCTCCATTCCTAATTTTTAATAATAATAATAATGAAAACACGCCCGGATATGCGTAATATCATTACGAGAAAGCACACTGCCGCAATTTTGTATGATTAACTATTGTTATATATATATATATATCTATACCTACATATTATGCTACGTATACATTGATTGAAACTTGAATACAATTGATACGTGTTTGACGAAAGATTCCAGGTTATAAAATTTGACGTCTTTGCATCCTTTCCAAGCGTTTTCGGTTCGTTCAATCTGGAAAGAAATCTATTTAAAAGTGAGAGAGAAAAATGTAATCTTAATGAAATACATAATTAGAATTAATTAGAATTATTGTAATGTAAAAATAAGTTTTTACATTACAATAACAGAAATATTTTGAGTAAAATATTACATTAAATCCAATAATTTTTATTTTAGAACTAGTAAAACAGCTTTTCAATCTTTTTTGAATTTCTTTTTTGTAATATTCAAATAGGTTGCAACTATAAAGTAAAAAAATTTTTTAATTAATATAGTTTTTTTACTACAAAGTAATATTTAATTATTTCTATGAAAATTGGCAATAATTATTATATTAATTATTATATCTAATAATTATATTAGAAATTACTAAATATGACAGCGATACATAGCGATTCAAAAAGAGAGAAAAGATAATGAAAAGGAAACAAATTATTTCCTCAATCCTCTATATTATTCTTTACTCGATTAAATTACAATTCTATAATGTTTTGTTTTTTTTTCGCAGAGCGATACGATAGCATATATACATATATATGAAACATTGTAAAATGGTCATAGCACAAAATGATCGAATGCTTAACAGATTGATCAATCGAAAGCAGAATTTGACAATCAGTTTTAAATCAATTCAGAATATGTTTCATTTCTTCAGAATCCAATAATTCGTATCGTATAATTCGTAATATAAAATAATAAAAAAAATATCTTGGCCTGGAGATTCTTCGAAAGATGTTGTATCGTTACTAAAGGATATTCTTTTCCTTGATTGAAAATGTATCAAGTGGATGAACTAAGTTCAAATGAACAACAGATCTCATAGTCTTCTCTATTTTTTCGATTCCTTTTTGCTAATCGTATGTTACCTTCTTCGATCAATTTTTTTCCTCCTCTCCCATTTCAAGAAGATCGAATAGTTTCTCAAAGTGAAGAAATGAAAAATTGTGAAAAAAAATGAAGAAATTTATATATATATATATATTATATGATTTTCGATAGCTCACAACGAAATTTCTGAGAAAGAAGAGAACAAAAAAAAATCGAATCAGGATTCATCTTGAAATGCATAAGCGATACGACGAAGCTATAAAAGAGTGAAGAATAATGATAAGATAAAGTAGCATAGACAGGAGAATAAAAGTGAAAAAAAGAAAAAGAGAAAAAGAAAGAGAAAAAAAAAGCGAAGCAAGAGTCGTAATATTGATGTAAAAAATTAATTTTTTATCATGCTAATACCTGATTCTAATCGTGTTTCATCGAATAACAAATAATCATGATTAACTAATGTTTCTTCGGACAAATTTCTACGCATAAAGAAAAAAGACTCAGCGGCTTGTATTTTCTATCGTGATATCGACACGATCTTTGAGCAATTTTATTCTTCTTTACGATAACCCCGCGATATTTTATAAGCCAATTATTTTGATAAGCTCAATAATTTTCTCCTGGGAAGGAGAAATACGTTTGTCTTGCTATATATGTACACGATTCACTGAAACAGAACCGTCGAATTTTTATTGAAAAAATGAAAAGGAAAAAAAGAAAATAGAATTAGAAAAAAAGAAAGATCTGACAATTATATAATCAAATGTAATGATTTTTAATCTGTATATATATTTTATTTTTTATCTTGAACAAATTATTGCAAATCCAAAAATTATTCGATGAAATTGAAATATATTCCAAGATTATTAGTAGTTTATTAGTAAATATAACATAATTATAATTTATAATTTATTTTTTTAGGTTAAGAAAAATGAAAAAAAAAGAAGAAAACAAAAGTTTTTTTTATTTAAAATAAAAGAAACAAAGAATGTTTAATATTTGCCGTTGAAAAAAGAAAGAAAAGAAAGAAATATATTTGTATTTTACATATTTCATTGTATTTTGGCATTTAATAATCAATGAAGTAGAATGATATCTCCAAAAAACCTAATATTTTTATTGAATACGATGTTTAATCTTCAAATCGTAAAGAGAATATCGAAGAAACAGAATTTTTCAAATAGATCGACGGTTCTGAGTACAATGAGATAAAAAAGTTTCAACGAAATCTCTTCATACTAATTTAAGATTAAGAGTACGTCAATGACTCGTGGATACCAGTGTCATTTCTGATTTCTCAGTATACAGATCTTTGTAATCGTCAAATCCTAGCGCTAATGTATATTGAACTACATATATACGATGGACCATATTTGTCATACTGAAACATTTCTAAAAAAAAAGCAAAAAAAAAAATATATATGTATGTGTGTGAGAAAAAAAAAAAAGAGAAAAAGAAATATGAAAGTTTTTCCATGATTTTTCTATAATTTAGAAGCATAAAATAGCTATTATGGAGAGCAATAATTGTTTCTTCATTGCATCCCAAAAAAAAAGGATTATTATATTTCTTAAAAAAACTGCAAAAAAAAAAAATAATGCAGGAAGTATAACTATGATTTTAAACTTAACTAGCTCATATCATACTTTTAAACTTTTTTTAAAAAATCTCGAATCGTCACGAGGTTTATTCTGAAATATTTTTCCTTATCTTTCAATGCATTTTAAACAATCATAACTTAATTTTTTTCGATAATTCCTTTGTAATTTTCATTTTTTCGCTTCAATCTTTGACTCAACATTTTTTTCAGTGGTGCATCAGATTTCTTTCATAGATTAGATCTAGACAATTCGAATCAAATTTTTTTTAATGTTTTTCTTTCATCAATAGAAATTAAATGATAAAAATGAGAAAAATTGTTAAACATTTGTAAATCAGTTTAAAGAAAGATACTTCATTATTACAATGAAAGATAAAAAAAAATCAAAATTTTGATTCTAAATGTACTTTTTATCTCTAGAAATCTTTCTATGAATAGTCCAAAGCCAGAGAAACATGCTCCAGATTCTAAGAAGAAGAATGGAAGTTAATGAAAGACAAAGAAGAAAGTAACTTAGTGAACCTCGAGACGATTCCTTTAACCAACATGGCTACGATTTATTTTGTCCTTTTTTTATCTTTCATTCTTTCGAAAGCCGACGATGATCTTCAACGAGAAAAAGAACTAAAGAGATACAACTTAATGGCAGAAGTCTCGCGCGAATCTCAGAGAGTAGCCGTAAAGAGGATGAAGAGAAGCGAAGAAGATATTTGAATTCCTTGAAACTGTCGTTCACCATGACGTAGACGTAGAAACGACGAACTTCACACTTTTATGTATCCAGTGCTCAAAATGAAGCAGCCACTCAAATAGTAAGTAGTTGGCCAATAGTCAAGTTGATCTGTAAACAATGGGATAGATATATACATACATGTATATATATATATTTATACATATATATATATATATATACATATACATATATATATATATATACACTTCAAATCCATAGATCAATGAATTAATTATATGTACAAAAAAGAAGACAATGAAGATGATTAGAAAGAGACAAAGCACGAGAACTTTTGTCCTTTTCTGAGTTTTATATCTTGATCTCAGAAATTTCAATTTGAGGGACAAAATGTTTTCTTTTTATGAAAGAGGAAAAAAAAAGAGAAAAAGAAAAAAAAGAAAAAAGAAAATAGATAATGATAATGATAATTATGATGATGATAATGAAAGAAGATTAGGAGAAAAGATTGATAAAAACCTGTAAATAAGTAGAGTTTCATTCATCACGTATGTATGTATTTGGATTTGATCTTTGGTCACGAATATGCGCGACACAATTCTATTCAGAAAAAAATGAGAAAAGAAAAAAATATATATATATATATAATATAAATACACAGATAACAAATAAATGATAAACACGCATACCAGGATCGAAGCTGGCTATCCTGGGGCCAAATTATATTCTCTTTAATCCATGGTCTACAGTTTTGAAGACCATCGAGAGATGGTAAAGGTCCCAGAACTGGATACGACCGTGCATAATGTAGTTCTTCAAAAGAGTATAGCTTCTTGTGAATTGTGAATGTAGAAAGACACTTATACCTCTGAGAATAGCTGCGAACACATATCTTAATTCAGAATTCATTCTATCTAATGAGAATGGATAGAGATGGAAATAGTATGGTGGCAAGTGGATTGTGGGCCCTTAATATTAAACATATAATTTCTAATTTTGCAGATCTTAAGGTAAATCGATTCTCAGATCAATTTCTTTTTTCTTTTTTTTCTTTCTTAATAATTTATTCTTATTACAATGGAAATGAAATAATAGTAGAATAAAATTTGAAAAAAATTTTAAATCTTCCAATATTAAGATTTACACATCCATATCTTTTAAATTAATATAGAGAATAATAATGAAATTTTATTTGTAATGTTTTATTTAGTTGTTTGAAAGAAAATGAAAATATAAAAACAGGGCCCGTTAAACCTAAATGCAAAGTTAATCAACGCTGTTCTACGCTTGATCGTTTCCATCCTTCATCGAGCAGGGGCATAATTAGATCATAGATTTTATCCTAAAGCTTTCATCGTCCTACATATCATATAGAGGAAAAGAGATCCTTTGTTTCTATAGTAGAAAGATGGGCCTATGGACATTCTTAAGATTCAGTGAAGTACATGATAAAGAAATGATTAAAAAAAAAAGGAGAAAAAAAATTATACGAATAGAAATTTGAAACAAAAGAAGAAGAAAAAAAGGGCCTCTAGTATTTGATAGGAAAACGAACCGCGTTTCGAAACAAACGAGTAACACGCTTTTTAGGTTTAGATGCAACTTCGACCTAGTTCTCAAAAATGTAACTAGAAAGCACTGTTTAATGTATCCTGAAATTTTTTTCCATTTCCTTAATTATCACGATTCGTGCTCTCACTATATTTAATATATTTAAAATTTAACATTATTATTAATAATATATTATTAATAACATATTTGTTAAGATTGTTTCATGAAAACTTTCAATTTCATTTCGTATTTCTTTTTATTTTATTATAATAAAATTAATAATATTTAATTCGTATTAAAGCAAAATATTACTATATCAATAATCTCAATAATGAAGAGATAATGAAGGGAAAAGATCTGATGCAGCTCATTGAATCATTCAATTCAGTTTCCCAACATATCCATCTTATGATCTCGTATTTTCATAAATCAATACATATGACATACGCATTCTCATTTATCGATTAATAAATTATTTTCATAGCCAACTGATCTATTTCGATCATTGTGCTATTAATCGATATTTATTATTATAAAATATAAATAGATTCTTTCTTTATATAAATCAGATTCTTTTTTTTCTTTTTCTTTTTTCATATTTTTCGTGAACCTGAATACTTTTATATAAAGAAACTTTTATGGTACGAATATGAAACATTTGTTAACCCTTTCACATGAGGGTTTGTTTTTTTTTCTAACAATCATTTATCGAAATACTTTTATTCAAATTGTTTGACAATAATCATGACTGATATGAATATTTAGAAAGATAATTATCGAAGAATTTCACAAATAAAAAAATACTGATAAAACGAAAAAAAAAAATAGGAATACTAAATAAAAGTTGAGTATTAATTATTATTAAAGTATATTCAGATTATAACTGAATCACGTGTGAAGGGGTGGAACACTGAGATAAAATTATATTTCCGATGGTTTTACGTAATTTCAAGATAATCGACAATTTTGTAATGTTTTTATTATGATTTATACAAATTAATATTTCATAGAAGTCTTTATATGTAAACGTGTACATATAATCAGTACTTAGATCATTGAATTTTCATATATAATATCACTGTCAATCATTGTCAAATGAAAAGAGAAAATAAAAGAATACGATTATTTAAGGAAGAGCCTGTGAAATATATGTGGAAGAATAATTGCAATTCACTTGTTGTATCATACACTTTAATTGGAGAAATCTGTTGCGTGTTAGTTAATGTTATTCATAGAATATTCTATCATTAGAAAAAAAAACGATAATTTAAGCCACTTTAAGTCCATTCTAGATGAAACTACAATTTACCATTTGATTTGATCAAAGATTGGTTTAACGATGCAGTTAACAAGAATTCAAAAAAGCTTTTTAAATCCTAGTCTTTAAGTTCTTGTTAAATGTAATCCAACATGCAATCAATTTCTCCAAACTATACTTTTAAGATTTATGATGAAGAATGATTGAGAAACGATAATAGAAATAAATAAAAAGCATAAGAGATAAGTGTATATGTGAAAGTATGAATGAATAAAACAAAAGACAAAATGACGATACGAACAAGCCAGGCGATTTAAAATCGCCAAGAGAATTGAAAATTCTAAGTCTATAAATATATTTACAAAATCAAGTGCATCGTATTGTTATGTGGAAGAGTAGAAAGATGAGTGACAGAGCGAAATAATAAAAAGAATAAAAAAAGCAATGATTGAAAGAAAACGAATGAAAGTATGAGAGATTATACGAGTGAGAGAAAAATGATTAAGATGACTTCATAAATAATATAATAAATAACAAAAATCTAGAAGTTATAGATATTAATTTAGAAGAAAGGAAAGATAAATTAGTAAAGATAATGCGAAATGAGAAAAAGAAAGAAGATAAGACAGTTATACGAACAAATAAGGGATGACTGTTATATCAGTATTTGCATAATTAAGGAAAGAAAAAATAAAAAAGATCGCAATTTAGAAGCATATAATAAAATAAATCGATTGATTCGAATTTAGATTCCAAGAATTGATCGAAACTATTGAATAATCCATAAGAATGTGTGTGTATGTGTGTGTATGTGTGTATGCGTGACATGCGTAAAAATATGATTGAATCAGTAAAAGAAAAAGAAGATTGAGAAATAGATTCCATATATATATATACATATATATATATATATATGTAGAACAAAAGAAAAAAAATATATATATATACAAATTATACATATAAAACGGAGAGAAAAAAACAATTATCGTTGATCGCTATACCAAGCAAGTAGTATATATATGTATATATATATATATATATATACATATAGTATATATATATACATATAGATATATATATATATATATATACATAAATATTATATTAAAGAATATATAGTAGCGTATCAGTATAACAATTTGTAAATATGCGTCGCGGTATGTTTATATTAAAGATGCATTGACACTCGTGCAAACCAGAAAAAAATCAATTATGAGAAAAAAAAAACATCGATAAAAATGTGAATTATGTAGAAAAATAATTAATAGATGTTGGTAGTAAATGTTTTGTATGTCAATGTCAATTGTAAATGCATTCGGCTTTTTTTTTTAAACTTTTATTTTTTCTAAAGATATTTTTCCAACACCTGAAGATCTTATTTGAAATTATACTATGTTCGCCAAGTCGAATTGAATATAAACCATATGATCAAAATTTAAGGAAATCAAAATCGGTTTTACAATTTTAGGATATAAAATAAAAAATTTACTTTTTTTGCAACTTATTTACAGAATGATTTGTAATAAAATGTATTTTATTAATATGTAATGTAATAAAAAAAAAAGTATAAATTGTTTTTAAGATAAATATTTATAAAATTCATCGATCATGATAGCAATCATTAATTGAAATTATATTACTTGTCATATGATTTGATATATTTATTTCTGACGATTCGATTTGGTAAATATAAAATATAATAAAATATAAATCTACACATTAGTTTTCAACAAAAGATTTATCAGATATACAAATTAATTCGTGATCTTTTTTTTTTTTTTTCATAAATTTGATACTTATTTACAGAAAAACAAAATACAATTTAATTTGGAAAATCGTTTCCGTCATTTTTTATATATTTAGATTAGGAAAATTTCAATGTAATGTAATATCATTTATACTTTATTGTGTAATATCATTTATACATATTGTTTATCGAACGACATCATATTTAATATTATTATTTAAGATTATTAATACTATTGACTTAGATTTTGTTTTGTTATGATAGAAATGATAGAAATTTTTTAAATTTAATGATTTAATTTTAATTAAATTCATCATTTTAATTTTTCATCATTTTTTTTTTCATCATTTTAATTTTAATTAATTAATCATGAAAGCTACGAATTAATTTGTACTTCTTATAATACATACATATATATTAGTAAAAATATTTTTAAAAAAATTTTTTTTAGATTAAAAATTGTCAGATATTTTTTTTCATCTTGATAAAGCCGAATGCAATCAGTGAAAATATCAGTGAAAACACAATATATGAATATAAATGAAACAACATCAAAAAAACCAAATAGAATTTCCTGCAATATAATATAATATAATATAACATAATAGTTTATATTAATTATGGGAATTTTTTATACTTAGAAAGTATAAATATATTCTTCGCTGTTTTGCGTTTGAGTTCGCTTTAAGGTCCGCATCTCGAACATTCTCGCGATAAAAATAGGGATAAAATGAAAAATCACTATGAAATAAATAAAAGATTTGTTTCATCGTATATTACATTCAGTATCAGCACGTAAATGTAAGTTTGCGAACTAACAAGCCAAACACGACAGATGTAAGGGAATTTTCGCTTTGAGGACTGACTTTTTTTATGTCATTTTAAATAAATAATAAATAAATAATAATTATAATAATAAAAATAATGATAATAATAATATTAATAGTAATATCGATAATGATAATATAAAAAATAAATAAATAAAGATGTACGTTCGAATTGCTAATAATAATTAATAATGATATTAATAATAATAATAATAATAATAATAATAATAATAATAATAATAATAATAATAATAATAATAATATTTTAAGGCATGTTTTCATCCTGCGAGTTTGGCCAAGGTTTTCTATTGTTTATGAAAAAGATTATTTTTATCATGATATTGTTGATCTGAATAACGACCTAAGTTCATTGAAATGATAATTAAGAATTGAAATGATTATCAATAATAGGATCAAAAAAAAATATCGAGGTTTTTACACTCGAACACCTAGTGAAATGATCATTTAGATTTTCTCATTTAGATTTTGTAGTATAAACTAAGATTTATCTAAAGAAAAATGATAGATACTGAGAATTCTTTAAGATATTAGATATTACTATCAAAAATAAACATAAATATGCATATTAAATAGATTAAGTAAATAAAAAATGATTCGAATGTGAAGGCTTAATTAATAGTCACTAATTAACCGAAAATCGGTTAAATTGAAAATTACGCTTTATTTTCATTTAATTTCAGCGTGTAATCTGCCAAAATAATCGATAATAACATGAAAA